GTTTTTTGTGTGTGTGTGTGTGTATATATATATATATATATATATATATATATATATATTACTAACTTGTCAGAATTTGTAAGACGCCTCTGGATTTTTTAACTTATTAAAGAGAGACATTTAGATGTAGAAGTATGAAAGAAGTACTTCTACATGCAGAAGTAGAAGTCCTAGTGTAATAAATATGTTTAGTTTGTTTTAAATATGTTTAAAATCTGAATGTCAGCTTGAGCAAAATAAATAAAATAAAAATGATCTCGAATATTTGATTCTGATTCATAAATCACATTGAGAGAAATAAATTTGTACAAATTTCCAATGGTACAAATAAATTAAAATAAAATATGGTTAAATAGATAAACAGTAAACAACATTTTTTTGTTATTGAAGATGAATAATTACAAGAATATAAAGTAATATTAAACTTTTTGTTTCCTACAGTGCAGTAGTTTTTTTTTCTTAAGTGTAATCTTTAAGATGCTCCAAGAGAAACATCTCATCAACTCAAAACAATATAATTATTAATTTGGTAGGTAGCACTATCACAAAATACTGCCTGTTTTTTTTTATTTTTTTTATAATGACTGGCTGAGTGTGTGAAGCTCGTGGTCAGGGGTTTATTTTTCGATAATGATCCTCTGACTGTAAATAATATCTTATGTAAGGACAGTGAAAAGATTCAATAATTAAATTAAAACCACGGCGAAGCGTTAAAAGTATGCTAAGCCACGCCTATTTAGGACTATCGGTTCCATGTTGCCGTCATTCTACTTATTCGAGTGGAGCGCACCACGTGATGTATACCACGCGTCATGTCATGTGACAGTGGTTCCTGCTACACGGTAATGATCAGTAATCGGAAAGGAGTGCTGCATCATGTCGGCCTGCGCGCTCTAATTTATTTCCTAGTTTAAGATATGGGTCGTGTGCGGGTTTGCGGAATCGCTGCTACTGTTGTTTCTACTTTCATACTGCTTCAGTGTGTGTCATCAGCAGTGGGGTCGGATGACAGCCCATGGTACCAGGATCTGTGCAGGTGAGATCTTTAATACATAAACAAACCTAATGCTAATCATTGCTGGCAAATCCTTATGGATATCATATTAGCAGTTGTCAAGAAAGAATTGTGTGTATTTAAATATGGTCTAGTTTGCTTTATATATTTGAATGATAGTTGTGGCCCTTTAAGCCTGGTTGCATGTAGGTACCTGGACCTAATAAAATCATAACGGATACATCGTCTCACCTGAGACAAAGCAATGCATTGGTTTAGGCACTGAGCTGGTTTTACTATTAGATGATGTCATATAACTGCAACAAATTCTGATCATGCAAATGGATTCAACTGAAATTGTGTGTGTCTGTTTTTGTGTGTGTGAAGTTACAAATGGGAGGCCATTGACCAAGACAGCAATGTGAGATACACTTTGAAGCTCTGTGATTCTTCTCCGGACACTGAATGTGGAAAAGAAAGCGCGGTCTGTGCCCACAACCTTAAGAGTGACCAGCACCAGTCAGTGGGTAAGTGCAATGCATCGATGTGCCAATGCACACCCAAACTGCAACAGCAATGTTCATAAAACAGAAGCATAAACATGTACACTGCTCCTTTTTTATAATATAACATACATTTTACATTTAATAATGTTCATTTAGTCAATTTCCAATGTTTTTCTATTTTCTAAATTGTCAGCTTTCTGTCATGGGATAGTGATTATTGATTATAAAATTGATTGGTTGTATGATTATTTGATTGATTGTGACATTGACAGTATCTGTTAGAGTAGCACTGGTTTCACCATCCAAGGCTTGGATAAGAAAACAATTCTCAGATTCTTTACATTCCCATTAATTTGTTGGGTATTATGGTATTATTGTTGTACGGTCTCTTTGCCAATTTTATTTAAGAAAAACGTTATTTATATTAGCCTAGTGTTTATCTGTAATCACTTTGCATTATGAAATAATGAGACAGTGTGGGTCTTAATGGTCCTAAAGAAGATTTTATTTTCTTTATGCAATACATAATTTCTCATACACTACCATTCAAAAGATCATCTGGAAGATTTTTAGGTATTTTTAATATATGCTCACTAAGGCTGCAAAAATACAGTAAAAAGATCATATTTTAAATTATTTTGCCATTTAAAATAACTGTTTTCTGTTTTAGTTTATTTTAAAATGTAATTTATTCCTGTGATGCAAAGCGGAATTTTTAGAATCTTTACTCCAGTCTTCAGTGTCACGTGATCCTTCGGAAATCATTTGAATATGCTGATTTGGATGCTTAGGAAACTTTTCTTGTTGTGGTCAATGTTGAAAACATTTGTGCTGTTTAATATTTTGACTGAAACAGTGATACATTGTTTTCAGGATTCTATGATGAACAGACCGTTTAAATGAACGGAGTTTATTTGAAAAATAAATCTTTATAAATTCTAAAATTACATATGTCTTTACCATACTTGATCTGAAGTATGAGCTGAATAAAAGTACTGAATCCTTTAAACAATTTAAACAAAAAAAAATTTGAACAGTAGTGTATATGTTTAATTTTTTTGCCTGTTTTTCATTTACGCTTAAAGTGCAATGTGATCTTAACATGTTTCTTGCAAGATTCACTCTTTAATAATTTAGGTCATGTGATAAATACCATTTTCTATTGATTCAAGTCGCCCCAAACACTTGATTGGACAAAGAAAGAATTGTATTGCTTAGTCTGGATATTCAGGTTAAACATTAAAACTCTTTAAAGGAAGTATGCTAAATACTTCTCATGTTTTGTCTTCAGAGCAGGTAAAAACCATATAACTCAGGGCTGTTGTAGCACATGGTCATTGCTCTCATAAGCGAGAGCTGCATGACAGAGCGCTTGTTTATTTGGTCTTATCCAACTAGTCAGCTGACCTCCATATGACACAAACCTATCAGCTGAACACCCCTGACCAAAAGTTAACTGTTAGCCATAGATTTAAATAATTGATAAATTTCACTTGTCAGAACAAACACTGGAGATATGTTGTTGATTGAATCTGCTTGCTTATATTCATAATGAGTGGCTTTCAGCACTGTTACATAGAGTACAGAAGTTATTTTGTACCTTAGTAAGAAAAACATCCAAACACCATTGTGTAATGTTTATATTGTGTTTCATGCTGGGTTGACTGGTGATTATAGTCGTACTGGTTCACAGTGTCACACATTTTGGTGGTTAGTGTGTATCCATTATAGGGCTTTCATTACTATTAACGTGTGCTTCACACAATAGTGTCGATGCATCTGATAGTGTTTGCATTTATTTTAGTGTGTGTATATAGCTTGCTTATATTCATAATGAGTGGCTTTCAGCACTGTTACATAGAGTACAGAAGTTATTTTGTACCTTAGTAAGAAAAACATCCAAACACCATTGTGTAATGTTTATATTGTGTTTCATGCTGGGTTGACTGGTGATTATAGTCGTACTGGTTCACAGTGTCACACATTTTGGTGGTTAGTGTGTATCCATTATAGGGCTTTCAGGTCCATTAACGTGTGCTTCACACAATAGTGTCGATGCATCTGATAGTGTTTGCATTTATTTTAGTGTGTGTATATACACTCGCTCACATATCCTGGTATTCTTTAGCTTGTGTTCCTGCAGTCATATCTTTGTGTTTCACAGTAAGTAGGTCAACGTTATCTAGCAGCAGGTGCAGTAATACAATTTGACAGTTAGAAAAATGACTGTTTTGTAAGTAAGTGACAGTATTTAAATATCAGTAATTAAAAATTTCAAGCTACACCACGAACAATAAATCACAAGTGTTAGTCCTGTCACATTAACTGTATTGCTGTCTTAAAGGGGTCATATGATGCGATTTCAAGTTTTCCGTATTTCCAAGAAAAAAACATCGTCTTATATTCGGGTCAATACGGTAGATCACACAGCAATGTGTAAAAATAATCATCAGGCTGTTGGTGCCCCCTGCAGGCCTTTGTTGTAATGCGTAATGTACATTAGCTCTATTGTTTATCATACATTATGTATTTTAACAATTTTGTTCAATAAAACCATATGATTTCTTTGAAAATGTTAAATTTTTTTTTTGAGGGAAATTAATCGTTTAGATTAATCGAGTAATCAATAAACTAGTCGATAGAATAATCGAAATAAAAATAGTCGTTAATGGCAGCCCTATTCTCAAAACTATTTAACACATCCTGAACAGAGCAGTTGTATGAAAAACAGAATAGAGATTTACTAGACTACTGTTTTGTACTGTACTTATTTCAGTATGCAGTGTGCACACTGTGTACGATATGCATTTAAAAAAAATTCTTGATTAACAATTGCCAAAATTTGTTGCGTAAAAGCAGATGCACGTGCTCTGCATGGAACATTGTATCCCATAATGCAATAAGCTTGACTTGACCTTCCATATCCAGTGTCATGAATGAACCAGAAATAATATCAGCTGCAATTTTGGCTCTTCTTGATTCATGATGTGACTGCAATAAGACAATTTTACATTCATATGTACACAAATAATGAATTATTTCTTAATATTTCTTAATATTGCTTTAATTAAATAATTGAGTGACACACTGCATTAAATATAAAACAATAAACGGATGTCAAGTCATTACAATGTAGTGTACTACTGTTTATAAGTATTTTTTTTAAATGGTATGCAGTATAATATTAGTACACTAATATTCTCTTTCTCCACACAAGGCATGTTAAAGGTTTTCCAGTGGCCTAAAATGTCAGATGTAGTTTCTCTGGCTCTAGTTGGCATGTTTATGGAACTGTTTTCATGTTGTTGAGTTTTTATTAGGTAATCTTCTCATGCAGTTTGTTCCCATGGGTTGTGTACTGCTAAACTTTTGGCCTGTGAACTTCTAACCTCTCCAGATAACATACTGTAATATTTTTACTTTGTTGGGTAGCACACAGACATTTACTGAATTGTATGTGCTGGTAAACTTTAGTTGACTTGGGTTTTGATAAGCAGTTTTGTAAAACATACTATGTCTTTTTTTCTTGAGCTTGACTCAACTGTGCATTGACAAAAGTGGTTTTGATTGCTTCTGTTGTCCTCATCTGTAAGTCACTTTGGAAAAAAGCATCTGCTAAATGTAAATGTAAAAAACATTTGACTTTATTTATTTGACTAAAATCCAGCTGCATATAGAGTGTGGTTATTTATTACAATAATTTCCAGCAGTTATTTTAATAGCTGTATTGTGTTACCAGCTTGCTGAAAAACAATTTCATTATCACAAAAGCGTATGTCTTATTCCTCTCAGACACACTGCTGTGTTCAAACCAGGTCTTTTTTTCCCATAGGTGAGCTCTCCTTGCAGAAGGTCTCGCCTGCTGTGCTTGATTTCAACAGCTCGAGGAAATGCGACGACAAGAGCTGCAACATTCAGAGCAGCATCACCTTTCAATGCGGCAAAACTATGGTGAGCTTTCCTCCCCAGCATGCACTGTTAGTCAGTGACTCCTGTGAACAGAGCGTGACATTTGCAAGGCTGTTTGTTTCCTTCCACCTTCTTGCTGAGCAAGAAGAAATGACACAAATGAAAAAAATGATATAATATTGAGGCAAAGTGAATCAGGTGTGGCTGATCTATCTATCTAAATGTGCTGAAATGTACCCCTAAATATAGATTTTTTTTCCTAAATGCATATTTAATTTTACTGTAGTTCCTCTGTGAAGGACAAAAAATTAAGGCCGTTTTGATGCAAAATTATTGTTTACTTTATATTTGAATAATTGAATTTTAAAAAATTATATTTTTATAAGCAAACATTTATTTTCACATTTACATTTTCATTATTTTTAGTAATTTTCACACCATGGATGACATCTGAGCTTTTTTTTTTTCCTTTAAAGGGCACACCTGAGTTTGTTACCATCTCTGAGTGTGTGCATTACTTTGAATGGAGGACGTATGCCGCCTGCAGACATGACAAATTTAAACCACATAAGGAGGTGAGTAAAGGTGATGAGAAATGACGACAGTTCTGTTAGAGCGTTAACGTGGAGGAAGGTGTGAATGCTTAAGTGTGTGGCTGTTTCAGTTGTTCTCAGTCTGAGAAAGAATTAAACTCATCAGTCTTGAACAAATCATTTTAACATTTTGAACATCTAAATAGACCTGAATAATGCCTAATCTACATAAAGAATGATTAACGATAACATTTTTAAACTATTGTGAAAATCACATTTAATGGTCTAGCACAGTGTTTATTTATTTACTTATTTTGGAATAAAATTACTTTGTTCGGTTTCTTCATTTGAGGGAAACAACTTTTTTCCTATTATTCTATCATTATGCTAATCCAAGCACCAGTCACATTTTCTTGAAATGTAAAAATGTATGTTTTTAGTAATGCTGATTAATCACATCCAAAATAAAAGTTTTTGTTTACATAATATATAGGGCTGTCGCGATTCGTCGATTTTATTCGACTATTCCATTTTTTTTAAATCCTCGACTTCATTTTGCTCATGTCGACTAACCGGCAAAATACCGGAAGTGGCGCATTTCACGGATGAGAATCCATAAAACACATTATTAGACTGTTTCCCAAGGCTGCATGATATATTAATATCATAATTAAGCATAATTGTGATTTCCAGCAGTTATTTTAATAGCTGTATTGTGTTACCAGCTTGCTGAAAAACAATTTCATTATCACAAAAGCGTATGTCTTATTCCTCTCAGACACACTGCTGTGTTCAAACCAGGTCTTTTTTTCCCATAGGTGAGCTCTCCTTGCAGAAGGTCTCGCCTGCTGTGCTTGATTTCAACAGCTCGAGGAAATGCGACGACAAGAGCTGCAACATTCAGAGCAGCATCACCTTTCAATGCGGCAAAACTATGGTGAGCTTTCCTCCCCAGCATGCACTGTTAGTCAGTGACTCCTGTGAACAGAGCGTGACATTTGCAAGGCTGTTTGTTTCCTTCCACCTTCTTGCTGAGCAAGAAGAAATGACACAAATGAAAAAAATGATATAATATTGAGGCAAAGTGAATCAGGTGTGGCTGATCTATCTATCTAAATGTGCTGAAATGTACCCCTAAATATAGATTTTTTTTCCTAAATGCATATTTAATTTTACTGTAGTTCCTCTGTGAAGGACAAAAAATTAAGGCCGTTTTGATGCAAAATTATTGTTTACTTTATATTTGAATAATTGAATTTTAAAAAATTATATTTTTATAAGCAAACATTTATTTTCACATTTACATTTTCATTATTTTTAGTAATTTTCACACCATGGATGACATCTGAGCTTTTTTTTTTTCCTTTAAAGGGCACACCTGAGTTTGTTACCATCTCTGAGTGTGTGCATTACTTTGAATGGAGGACGTATGCCGCCTGCAGACATGACAAATTTAAACCACATAAGGAGGTGAGTAAAGGTGATGAGAAATGACGACAGTTCTGTTAGAGCGTTAACGTGGAGGAAGGTGTGAATGCTTAAGTGTGTGGCTGTTTCAGTTGTTCTCAGTCTGAGAAAGAATTAAACTCATCAGTCTTGAACAAATCATTTTAACATTTTGAACATCTAAATAGACCTGAATAATGCCTAATCTACATAAAGAATGATTAACGATAACATTTTTAAACTATTGTGAAAATCACATTTAATGGTCTAGCACAGTGTTTATTTATTTACTTATTTTGGAATAAGTTCGGTTTCTTCGGTTTCTTCATTTGAGGGAAACAACTTTTTTCCTATTATTCTATCATTATGCTAATCGTCACATTTTTCACATTTTCTTGAAATGTAAAAATGTATGTTTTTAGTAATGCTGATTAATCACATCCAAAATAAAAGTTTTTGTTTACATAATATATAGGGCTGTCGCGATTCGTCGATTTTATTCGACTATTCCATTTTTTTTAAATCCTCGACTTCATTTTGCTCATGTCGACCTCCCCTTCGTTTTGCTCGCGTCGACTAACCGGCAGGAAGTGCGAAGTGCCGCATTTCACGGACGAGAATCCATAAAACACATTATTAGACTGTTTCCCAAGGATATATTAAAATTATATGCGATGCAGTTCTAATAGAGTAAATGTGCTTTAATTATTTACATGCTTGTAGGTTAAGTACATGCGTCACACAGCGGCTCCTTTCACAGTAGTTCACAGGAACTGTTATCATTTACATGTGTGGAGCATCTCAAACTCCATCTCTGCATGTTGTTGTGAGTTTTGGTTTATTATAACGTTCATCTGGGAACGCAACATGCGCAACAATCAGATTTGTAAGGTAAATCATTTATAAATCAACGCAAACTCAGGAGAATACATCGCAGTTTCAAAATAAAAGCTCAAACCCTCACTCTGAGTTGACACGTTTTGATGTCCACATATTCATTAAATTACAGTGGCTATAGAATTTCTGTCCTAAAGAAATGGCCAAATATTAAAGATTAAGTGGACATTTTAATTAAATGGTGCTTGGTCAATATTAAACAAGTATTAGATCGCACAGCAATGTGTAAAAATAAACATCAGGCCGTTGGCGCCCCCTGCAGGCCTTTGTTGTAATGCGTAATGTACATTAGCTCTATTGTTTATAATACATTATGCATTTTAACAATTTTGTGGAATAAAACCATATGATTTCTTGCTTTTGATACTTTATTTGAACTAATTATTATTGCCTCATTGCTATTATATGTATTTTAAGTCATTTTAAAGGCTATTGTTCACTTCTATCTATTTTTATTACCACAAAAAAAAATTATTATAATTATAGGGCCCTATGAAATCCGTTTTATTTCCAAATTCAGTTTTTTTCCATTTTCATTGTAATGGTTAAATTAAATTTTATTAATCAAAAAGCCTGTCTAATTAATTGACTTTTACAGTTTTATCTTTACCAAATTCTGTTTTCCATTATTTTCTGGATTCCATTTGAATGGTTCCATTAAATTTTAATAATCAAAAGCATCTCCAATTAATTGATTTTATTTTTTAAAGTTTTTTTCTTCTTTTTTTTCAGAAATACTGCACATTTACATTTT